GACGAAAGCTGGATTTATTGTTATGATCTGAAACTAAGAGACAGTCTGCTATCTGGGTGTTTCCTTCCGAGGAGTTGCCAACTAAACTGAAGAGAGGTCGAAGCGTGGGAAAAAAGATGGTGGCCTCATTCTACGGAAGGACAGGTCATTACGCAACAATTGTTTTAGAGGATCGAAAAACAGTTACTGCAGAGTGGTACACTAACAATTGTTTGCCACTTGTCTTAGAAAAAGTTCGGGAGAAACGACCTCGTAGTAGGATCCTCCTTCATCACTGAAACGACCCGTTGCACACCGCCAAGCAAACAATCGACTGCTTGGCGACGTCAGACGTGGAATTACTGGGTCACCCGCCCTATAGCCCCGACCTCGCACCTTGCGATTTTTATTTATTTCCAAAAATAAAAGAAAATCTTCGAGGAAAACGTTTTATGGACTCCGAGGAAGCAGTGGCTGCGTTTCAAAAAACCGTCGACGAGAGAGAGTGTAGCGCAGTAAAATCAGTTAAAATAATGCATTACCACACACTTTGAATTTAGAAGATAAAAAGGACAGAATGTATGAGATTTTTTTATTAATTTTTCTTCACCTTTTACCTATATTACTTATTCTAAACCTTCTCCGCAAATTTGGCCAGTTATTGGAAAATAAGCCGGTATAAAGCGTCTCCCACACACAAACGGCTTGCGGTAGTGGCTAACCACGAGCCGCGGCTCCAGCCGCTGCAACAACACACCACCGCGGCCGGAGTGGCGGCCTGAAGCGCCATTCGCAGTGGTGTCTGTGCTACAATCGGACGTCAGTAAACATGACAAACCGTGACGAAGTCTTATTATTTTCAGCAATATTATCATATATTTTGTTTTTAATCCCAATGATTTTGTGATCACAATGCAAATTATCATAAAGTACTGGATAATTTCGCCTTGTTTCTATTAAAATCTCTGAGTTTAGCACCATTTTTCACGCGTTACACGCGGCCTGTTGTAAAAATTTGCAACTGACCGCGCTGCGGCCACCGACAGACGAGTTTGCAGAGTCACTTACATTGCAAGCGAATACAACTGGCCGCCACCGCGGCCGCCACCGCGGCCGCCACCGCAAGCCGCTTCTGTGTGGGAGACGCTTAAAACATGCCACATACCAACAAAACAAAAGCTATATGCCGGGGTAAGTTTTTATGACATAAATTAAATGTCATATGTTTGTTGGCAAATATCAAAACAAGAGCTTTAATGAACAAAACAGTGATGAGTAAAACTACTGTCTTGCAGCAATCTTTTGTTTTATGATTACTGTCAGTTCTATTCTAAAATAAAGTAATAAATATGTACGTTTTGCGAGAGGTTCACAGAGATATGCGGAGCGGACCCCCGGCTCCTCTGTAATTCAACCCCTCTAATCCGGCCCCCTGCAATCCGACATGACTATGACATATAGGTATAGTCGAGTCGCGTTATGAATCCGCCACAGGGGTGAGTTGCCTTCGCGAATGCGGACATACAGGTTGTAACTAGTTCGTGTCACTACGAATTTTGCTTGACGCCTATTGTATCAATTTGAATTTAACTAAATAGTAGATATTCATTGTGCATCATAAGTCGTAATGTCTTCGCAAACCCAAAAGCGAAAGCACAAAACACTAACAATCAAAGAAAAAAATGATATTTTGGACCGCTTAAATCGTAATGAATCTTTCAGTAGTTTGGCAAGTGAATACGGCGTAGGCCGATCAACAATTTATGACATTAAAAAGAACCGCGAAAACATTCAAAAGTTCGTGTCAACTGCTGACTGTGGGCCAGGCAAAAGGCAGACACTCAAGAAAGCTAAACATCCAGAGGTGGAAGAAGCTTTGTATATGTGGTTCCTTCAGGAAAGAAGCAAGCCTACGCCCATTACTGGGCCCATGTTGGCCATGAAAGCTAAGTTTTTTTACAAGGAGATCACAAAAAAAAACGACTTTGTGGCTAGCAAGAGATGGTTGGAACGCTTCAAAAGTCGTCATGGAATACGTTTGATGACTGTAACAGAAGAAAAACTCTCTAATGATACATCGTGCATAGAGACATTTAAATTGAGATTTTTTCAAAAAGTGAAAGATTTAGATCTTTGTCCTTCACAGGTATACAGTGCAGATGAATCAGGGCTTTTTTGGCGTGTAATACCTAGCAAAACGTTAGTTTCATCTAACGAAAAATCTGTACCAGGACATATGTTGAGCAAAAAACGTGTAACCATATTACTATGTGCTAACGCTGCGGGTACACACGCGCTAAAGATGGTGGTCATTGGAAAGTCTAATAAACCACGTGCATTCAAAAACATTGATTTACCCGTACACTATTATGGACAAAAAAATGCGTGGATGACAAAAGATATTTTCAAAACGTGGTTTGACGAAAACTTCGTGCCTGAAATTAGAAAATGGTTAAAAGATCATAATCTTCCTCAAAAAGCGTTATTGCTTCTTGATAACGCCCCCAGTCATCCATCTGAAGAAGAACTGACAACAAATGATAAATGCATCACTGCAATGTTTCTTTCACAAAACTGCACTGCTCTAATACAACCAATGGATCAGCATATCATTCAGTTTGTTAAGCAAGACTACAAGAAGAACCTGCTACTGAGAGCCATATTAAAAGACCAGCCTATAGAAACAACGTTAAAAGAATTCAACATGAAAGACTTAGTTTTTGCTCTTTGTCAATCCTGGAATGCATTGCCCCCATCAACAATTACATCATCATGGAAAAACTTATGGCCAGATATTGTCACCACTCCTAGCAATGCTCCACAAATCAGAGTTAATTCGAAAGTAATACAGCAAGTTTCTGTCGAAACAGATATAAGTTTGGAGGATTTGGAAATATGGTGCCATGGAAATGATAAAGAGGAAAATGTATTTCATGAAATGCCCGATGAAGTAGATATAAATCAAATTTCTAGTTCTACAATAAAAAATCAAGAAGATGATGACGACATAATTAAAACTAATCCGCAAGTGGCAGCACAAGATGCAATCAACGCATTTGAGCTGGGTTTGCAATGGGCTGAAGAGAATGGTGCATCCTACAGTGAACTTTTACTTTTGAGAAGACTGAGAGACAAAGCTTTAATCTCGCGTTTTAACAATGTAAAATAAAAGAAAATTTATGAATCTTTTAATGTTTCATAAATTTATTGGTTTTTACAAGTTAATGCACAGTACACTTATGTGTCCTTTAAAACACTTACATATTTAATCTTAAAAACATTAATATGTTTAGTTAGTTTTTTTTTGTAAGCTCTAAAGCATAAACAATGTTAATTTTGTAATAAACCCTGTGATGTTTATTGTCTTGTTTAATTTACTAAATTCCATACTGTATGATTTATAGTACATACATATAGAATCTTACCACTTTTATATGTAATTTGTCAGATTACAAAATACTTTTTTTCATAAAGTTCCAGAATACCAGGGGTCTGTGGCAGTACACTTTGTCGGACTATTCCAACAAATTTGATAATCCGACACCACCTTGCAAAATGTTTGTCGGATTACCGTGGGTCAACTGTAATAATAAAATATTCTGAAATTACTTCTGTTTTGCTTTTCTTTTAATCAAACATGTTTTACTACATTTTACCTGGCATGTCTTCTAATAATGTTTTTATACTTACTGGATTTGATTTATTGCACTTTCAATGACTTTAGCTTATATCTTGAGAATCAGTAGAATTCAGTATTATCAAATAATGAGCTCAATAATATTTTTGTGATTTTTATATGATTTTAATGTTTAGTTGTATCATCATATTATGAGTGATATTGTTTGATTTTTAACATCACAAATAAATATTTCAATTACTCTTTAATTGTTTTATTAAATTAGTCATAAGCATCACAATCACATATTTTGTAATGTGTGAGAGTTTGCACTTTTAGTCCTTTGTCTGAGATTTTATAATTTTATAATGTTCGACATGTTTGATCTACTTTGAACAATTAATCAAACTTCATCCTACATCTTCTTGAACTTTTTAATCATTTTCTAATGTTAAATTACAACTTCTAGAACATGGAGCCATTTTTAGCTCATCATTATCATTATACTGTATCACAGCATATTTCTGGTATTCATACATTTTGAACATATATTTTCAATTGTAATGTAATGTTCATTTTCCCTTTCCTATTTTTTTTATAGGATGAGGACAGTCATATAGTGTAGTTTTAATAAAAACTAGTCTTATAAAAATAAATACTTACAGTTAGTATCCATTACCTTGATACAAAGACTAAAAAAGTAATTTCTAAAGAAACTGCTTATAACTAATGGAAATGGCAATTATGTGTTGCTTACAACAGTACTATGCCAATTATCCACTATTACAGATAAAATAAATAATATAGCTTTAATACTTATTTCACATGCTGAAAACAAATTTTTGCATCCCAAAAAACTACACTCACATGTCAAAAGCACCAGTTGTATGCATGTATTTACTGTCAAAGGCACCATACATTATTCATACAATAAATATATCCAATGCAACTCCCTGTCACCAACCTGATTATCTTACACTTGGAGTATATGATATAACTACCTATCAGAGACCGTAATGATAATATTTGAACATTTTCTACATTCATAGGAATTCATACAATATCAAATGTTTTAACATTGAGTATGTTTTATTGAAAGAGTGCAACTTTAACCTTCTAAGAACATAATTTATGCATCAATAACACAACAGTTAAAAGTGCTGTTTTGGGAAGCTGTTAATTAGACTCAAGGATTGTAAACAGTTTTTACTAAACCTACAAGCATTTGCAAGGTTTTATTGAAATTCATTCTATTTCTACAAATATTTATAAGATATTTAAGGACATGCAGTCTTCACCAACTAATTATTAAATTTATTCTGGTGAAAAAGCATTTGAAATTAAACCAGTATTTAAATTTAGAAAAGAATTTGTTCATTTAAATTATACCAATGGAAAAAATTACCTTAATAGGTTTCTCCAAAGTCACACGTCTTTCGTCAAACGGCAAAGAATTTGAATGAGGAATAAATAGAGCTTGAGGAACACCCACTTCTTGGTTGTTGGGTTCTTGGCTAGAAGTCCAATTGAAATCCATATTTTTCATAGTATTGTTCATTTTTGGCTTAACTTTTTTACTCTTTGCTATCACCATCGCACACACTGCTCCTCAGATTCAACATCCGTGCTTTGTTTGTCATAGGACGATGAGCATACCGATGATGAGATTTGGTCAATTCATTTCATGGTGAAAGGTGAACATTCCCCACTGCCATTTTGAGTAGTAACTAGTGCCCAGTAAACAGAAGTAGTAAATTCTTCTAATATTATGTTTCCAATCTTCCAACACTCAGGCAAACCTTCGCGAAACTGAATAAATGAAACTTGATTCCACTAGTCTCTTTACTGTTTTGTCATTAAAAATATAAATTTCTAAAGAATTTCTATACGAAATTCAAATTAACAATAGACTGAAGGCTATAATTTATAAACTCACGAATACCCATACGTATTAAAACTTATTATTATGAGGGCGTTGATCGAAATTATCGTTCGTAGAACTTACGAAATGGGCGCACGAATCGGACATTTGTTTTGTTGAGTTGGGTCCCATTCGTAATCCGTACCAATCCGTACGTATCGTAATCGTAAGTCGTAGCTGCATAGATTATTTGTTTTTAATTTTAACAGGTTCTTTTTCTGTATAGTCTGTAACTCGATATAAAAAAAAATATTATTAAGGGTGGCCCCATACTATCCATCAGTTTAAGCCACCTTACGATGAGATCACATCACAATTCACAAACTTAGAAAGTAGAAACTGTAGAAATACTTACGGACACGGATGAGATGAGAGCAATTAGATTAGGGATGAGGCGTTATATTTTTGTACAGGTTTTAATATCAAGCTACCAAGTATCGGGCTTAGATAAAAAATATCGATATATCGAAATATCAGTATTTTCTCAGAAAGATTCTCGTTTATCGTCAATATTTTTAATCGCGATATTATATCGATATTCGATATTTATTTTAGAGTACATATCAAATTGCAATATATTTTAAAATGATATATTTATTTTGTAATAAGCATATTAGACAAAACAATTATGCAACAAAATCAAATACAAAAGCTTTCATATGCTGCTGTTTATCGTTATCAAAACGTCCAGTAATAATTTCGGCACCCATCCTACTACATCATACAAAACATGACGATATATCGATATATCACGCGAAAATAATCGATACTGTTTAAAAATATCGATATATATTTCGCTTGCTCATCCCTACCAAATATGAAATTTATGCTTTAAAGTCATGAAGTTATAGATAAAGATGGAGACCACACTCCGAATACCTACTTGAAGCTAAACCTATGTATTACTATCTCGCTCTCTGTGGGCAGGCCCTCCCTTTCTATGTAGGTAACCTTTATTTTATTTTTCCCAGGATATCGCTATAAGTAGTTGAGTTACATTAAGTGTTTTATTTATAAATATCTATATCTCTCTTTACTACTAAGTCCTAGCCTACATAGATTATATATTTTTGTACAATTTTTTTTGGGAATTGACTAGTTTTATGAAGAAAGGTTTTCATTTCCATGGGCAGAACCGGTATTAAAATATGACCACGCATTTCCGTCACAACCCATATAATGCCGAGCCTATTTAGAAAATGTGGAAAATAAATATATCAGAGAATATTTTATAACTACCATTTCGATAATGTATTTTCTGGTTATTGTATACAATTCCTAAACGGTACCAACGAAATATAAAATTAAAATTTATTATAACCCCGGGTGATCAATGAATTGGGCAAAATATACCTGATTTATTGTTCAGACAGACTAAATCTATTTCTGGACAATTATTTAAAAAAAAAATATCACGAGGACTAAAGCAGCGTAGCGGAGCTCCTGCCTTAACCTTCTGACCTAACCCATCCGAGTCAGGCTGCTCTGAGCTGAAATGTGTATAATACTATATTCCACACATCCAGTTCATTTTAAGAATTATCTACAATTCCTAGGAATTCTATATAATAACGGATTTCATAGATTTCTAGTAACATATGTACTATAATAGGAACGATAATATATTATTATTTTGAGTTGTTATCAGGAAGATGCCACTGCCCATCTCCTGTTTCATTTTCCCTCTGACACCTCTTACAACACCCTCGGAACGATATGGGGTAGTGGATATTCTCACACCACCACTACATGGTTTGTTAAAAACCTTAAAAAAATAAATAAAAACACTTTCCATATTAAAATTATTTATTGAATTTTTCACACCATGTGGATTTTTGAAGTCCTTACAGATATGAGTAAAGCGCCCTTGAATAATATTTTCAATTTCTGACTGACCCATATACTTTTTAATAGTGTCCATTAAAGAAGACCTATCCTGAATTTTTTAGTTTGGCGCGCCACTTTTTGCTTAAGAATCTTAGTTTTCGTCTCAAGTATTTCTTCTTTAGTACACTTTATTTTCACTTGCACGCCCCTATCAATCTTCGCGGGATCGTCGTATTCACTGCTGACCTAAGAAAACAAGAAAACTTTATGAAATCAGTGTTTTTAGCATCGTACATCCTATTGCTACACTCATAAGGGTCGTAACGTGATGTTAGATAGACTTCCTGAAGAATTGGTTTTAAAAATGCAAAAAAATATTTTCAAATCAAACCAGAGATTAGAGAACTCTAACAAAATAAAGAAACAAATAACTCTTCTACATCATAATGTCAGTACAAATTTACATCACTTAATAGGTAACATATAATACACCGGAGCGCGCCTTCATGAGCACGCATAAATGAAGCATCAAACAAGAAGCTTTATGCTTAGTGTCGTAGTAACTATTACCACACTGCGATTGGCACTAAAGAGTTTAAATATGTCTTTTAAGCTATATAATACATTATGTAATGTAATATTAAAGTCATAATAAATACAAATAAAAGGTATGTATTTAGTAATAAAGGAAAAGGACACTTACAGGTAATTTGTTAAGATTGCATAAATTTTCAAGAATTTTTCGACATTGTTTTTTACTAGTTTGGTCTTCAATATTACAGCCAGTACATATCACTTCTGTTTCCTTAAGTGCAGAACTACTTTCATAAATGCCAGAACTAGTGCTTGGTACAGCCATAGCAGCTATTTGCACAATAGACTCTTCATGTAATGCACTTATTGTCTGCAAATAATAACATATTTTAAAAAATGTTGCTTTATATCATACATCTAAACAACTACATTTCTAAATACATAATTATTATAAACATTATTAAAGTATCAGAATAATGAGAAACAAAAACTAAATAAAAATAAATTGTCTACCAAAAGAATATATTATGTTACTCATTTTTAATTTAATATTATGAAATCTATGAAATACGTCATTATATAGAATATATAGGAAGTGTACATAATTCCTAAATTTCATGCATTTCCGGTAACATAATAAGAAACATGTACATATAATTAGTTAAGGTCACATGGAAAGTCTCAGATACATCACCAATATGGTCACACTACTTCAGTGCGATTTCTTTTAAACAAAAACAATAAAATTGTTCAAACTTAATTAGATTCAATGTAAAACTATTTGATTTTGACAAAGTTATAATTTACTAATATGTTTAAAACACTGATAAAACGTTTCAGCAAAAAATTAAATGAAAATACAAAAAGTATGTTTACAAGTATTCAATGTCAGAAGTCACTATTTAAACACTTACGTGTGAAATCTTATATCACCTCCTGGACACCAACTACTGTCGCAACCACGTACTAGACAAATTTGCACCATTTCTTGAATTATAACAATAATTAACTTTAAATATCTCAAACGACGCTGTGAACTGCTAAGTAAACAAGAGCCATATTTGTCTAATTTATGTTGACATATAGGGCTAATGTTGCCATATTACCGAATCCTTAGGAAATGGGTTTGTAATTCACTGATTCGTGAACCCAATAATGCATACGAGACCTTCAATTTTGGAATTTTTAATGTAACTAATCGTAGATCAACTATTTATTTGTTGGTACATTATTTTACAAAGCTTAACTTCTGATTTAGTTAGTGTGGAAATTATTTCTAAGAATTTACCGGGAGATTCAAATAAAAACATAGCAATATTGTGTTCCACACTAAAAAGAGAAGTCAGACCACAGAGAGTGAGATAAAGATACGTAGGTATTTGACTCAAGCTGTTGTTCCAAGTGTGGCCTCCATCTTTATCTATAACTTCATGTTTAAAAATGTTATAAATATGCTTTCTCCACATCCAAGGATTCGACAAGCCCACTCAGAGTGGCCACCTTGGGCCAGCCCTTCACTTCAGGCTAGTGAGTTGAACTACGTTTACCATGGGTTACCAAGACATGGCTACCATTATATTTTTGATATACTGCAATTTTTCAAAGTGGTGCGTTTTTCATGTCCAATAAAACAGTCGTCTGTGAAGTGTTTAGAACAAAGATAATCATTTTGTTTCGGACGCCAATTCACAATGTTTGTGCTTTTTAGCCATAATTTTAGTGTAGGTTCATTTGGAAACCTATTAATTAATAAACATTGGATAGTTATCTGTTGTTTGCGACTTTGGTTGTCAGACATACATAACAGATATGGAAAGAACATCGATAAGTATTATAGACAAGGAACTCGGCAACCCCATTTAATTTTTTTGTTTATCAAAACTCAGTAATATGAAGCCAAACATGTTGGTAATTACGGTATTAAGATTAGTAACAAATTTTTAAGTACCTATATTATCAAATAAAGGTTTTGACACGTAGAATGCAAGAGAAATCGGAAAAATTTCTATGGGAGGCACAATGCGGATTTAGACCTGGAAGAGGATGCACGGATCAAATGTTTTCTCTCCGTATGATCACGGAAAAGCTTCTGGCTGTTAACCAGAAGATATTCTGTGCTTTTGTGGATCTTGAGAAAGCATTTGATAAGGTTGTAAGGAAGAAAATGTGGGAACTGTTGCCGGGGTATGGTGTGGATGGCCGATTGCTAAGGGCTGTGCAGTCTCTTTACTGTGACTGTAAAGCCTGTGTGCGGGTAGGGCATGACCTGTCACCCATGTTTAGCGTCCAAACGGGCGTAAAACAGGGTTGTGTCATGTCTTCCTGGCTGTTCATACTGTATCTCGACAGCTGTTTACAAAAGCTGAAAGATAGCTGTTTGGGTGTGAAATTGGGTGACATAAAAGTAAACTGTCTGCTGTATGCTGATGATGCAGTGCTTATTGCACCATCAGAGGCAGAACTGCAGGCATTAGTCACGTGTATGAAAGAGGAATGTGAAATTAAAGGTCTCCGTTTGAATGCTAATAAAACTAAGGTTCTGGTATTTGAAAGGGACGAAGAGAGAACGAAGTGTGAAATATGGGTAAATCAGGAATGTCTAGAACAGGTAAATGAAATTGTATACTTGGGGAGTGCTTTTAGCCGGGATGGAAGATGTGATTTAGATGTGGACAGGCGTGTCGCTGCCGGGAACAAAGTCAATGGTGCCCTGACTGCGTTAGTCAAAAGGCAAGGCGTAGCGAAGAGTGCACGCCTTGCAATACATAACGCAGTGTTGGTACCGACTTTGTTATATGGCAGCGAAACCTGGGTATGCCAGAAGAAGCATAAAAGTAAGTTGAATGCAGTGGAGATGCGATCTCTTCGTAAAATGTGCGGCGTTACTATGGCCGACCGAAAGCGAAACGAAGAGATTCGCAATATGGCAGGTTTGAAAGATGACCTTATCACAAAAATTG